GGGGCCAGGCGGGAGTCGGGGGGGGAGCCACGGAGGCCGCGAAGTGGGGCGGGTGGTGGTGTGGGCGGCGGCGGCGGCGGCAGCCTGGCGGCCATGGGCGGCCGCGAGCACCAGTACAGCTCGCTGTCGGCCGCGCGGCCGCTGAACGGGACCTACCACCATCACCATCACCACCACCCGAACCCCTACTCGCCCTACGTGGGTGCGCCGCTGACTCCCGCCTGGCCCGCAGGACCCTTCGAGACCCCAGTCCTGCACAGCCTGCAGAGCCGTGCCGGAGCCCCGCTCCCGGTCCCGCGGGGCCCCAGTGCAGGTAAGAGGCGCGCCGCAGCCCGGGGGCCTGAAGCGCTGGGGCCTGTGGGAGGGTGTGGAGCAGCTGGTTGACTTGGGCCTTGTTTTTAGAGCTCTTCTGTCTGGGTGCCTAGAGGTCCGCCTGGCCCCAGGCCGGATTTGCAGAACTTTGGCAGGGCCACCCAGAGTCTGGCAGTGTTGATGAAGTGCTTCTATTTTGCGGATTGTTTCAGTTCCTTTCCACGAAGGAGACAAGGTGCGCGTATTCATCTCAGTGCCTTGGAGAAGCTCGAGGGACTTTAACAGTGAATGGGGTGGGCAATTGGAGAAAAAAAAGCCAGGGAAGGAACTGACAGGGCCTGAGATCTGTCACAGACCCTAATTTGCCTAAATGGGAGAACGAGACTCTACTGGGGTGGGTAAGTTTAGGGGAGTGTTGGGCCCTTGATTCACCCTCTCCTAAAACACAGTCTCACCCAGTTCAGCTCTCCAGAGGGGAGGAATTGTGTTTTCCTCAAGGAGAGTATTTAAGAGCCCCACAGTGGAAAAGGACCTAAGGACCAAGTTGGCTTCCCCTGCAGTGGGAGGGAGAAAAGAGGGGGATACCTGGGCTGGTCAGCCTTCTGACTATCCCGAGGGAAAGCTGGTGGAGAGGCCCTTCGGTTGGACATCACCTGGGCCGTGGTGTCTGGGGCTGCTGCCCCTGTCTGCCCCTGCCAGGCTGGGACCCAGGGATCCTGGCACTCCCACATCTGTTTTTCCTCCAGAGTTCAGCCTACCGATTTTTCACCAGTTTTCCATGCCACCCATACTTTCATTCCAATGTCTGGGGGCAATTTTGGGTGAACTGGGAAAACACAGTTGTAAAAATACCTGGAAACACCCCATTTTTTTCTGCTCAAGCAGAGGAGGTTATGAACTGTGTTAACCTGGCCTGACCACTCTGGCTTCTGTTCTCAGCCGCTGCAGTGTTCTGGGTACTTTGTGGTGCTTTTACAGGTCTCTCGCTTTGTGTTTAACCCGTTTGATAAACTGACAGACTCCTAAGACAAAACTTTTTTTTGGGTGGGGGGGCTGTTGTTTGTTTGAGGCGAGGTGTGGGAGTCACTGAGGTGGCAAAGAGGCAGGAGGCATGTCAGCTTAAATTATCCTAACTGGTGTCCTCACACCCTAGTCTGGGCTTTTCCTGGGAGCCTCAGTGCTCGCTTTTGGGACAAGTCTTCTGGGGCCCCTACTTAGTTAGGATCAACTGAGGAATTGCCAACCTTGTACTCAAAAGACACACTGGAAATGGCAGTGGCCTGAAAGTGAAGGATCTGACTTGAAAAGCCCTCCTGGTAACACTGGGAGGGGGCAATGGGTTATTTGGTAACAAGCCCTCCCTCTCTTTCTCTACCTCTTCTAAGACTCTGGTCTCAAAATTCCCTCTGCTTTCCTCTGGGAAGCTGGCCCTGGAGACTGTCTTCACTGTGGTGTAGAGTGGGTAGGGAGGGCCCTGTTGAGTATAGACTTGAGACAGAGCACTGTCACCCTTTCTGTGGCACAGGAACCCGTGGCTGGCTCCCTGGCTGGAGCTGAGAGACTGGGAGGTGAGGAATCTTCAAAGCATGGGAAGGGGGGTGGTGGTTAGGGTGAGGCTTTTGTCAGTCGGGAATCCAGAGGGGAATCCAAAAGAGTGTGTAGGGTTGGGTAGGGGCAACACAGTGGGAGCTGGATCCTGCAGCTCTACTTATCTCCTGACACACCTTAGTGTAGTCTCCATGCCCCTCTTCCCCTAGTCTTCCAGCATTTCACAGGACAGAAAGAGAAGTAGCCCAAAAGTCATAATCGGAGTCACTGGATGTTTTAAAGAAACTTATTTTGTATAGAAAAGCTTTTCAGAGGCAGTAAGGTGCAATAGTAGGCGAGTTACAAATTTCATTTTTAAACCTAGCTTATCCTTTCACTAACTTTCACTAACAACAACCCAAAACTAGGAAGGGCTTGGGAACACCCAGCTTCTGCATAGAGTCTTTTAAGTCAGGAAGCTACTGAGAATCAGCGAGTCTGGGGTTGGGGGAGGCAAAAGACCTCTAATTTCGGTTGTCTTCACAGGTGTTCTCTTGCTAGAGAAACCTTGACCTCCAAAACCTCTCCTCCCAGCTTCCTAGCTAGATTTCCTGCCTCTCCGCTTCGATTTTTTTCTTTTTTTAAACAGACTATTTTTGAAGGCACTCTTTAATAGATTTAGGCAGACAGCAGGGCTAAACCTTAGCGCTGAGCTCTCTCTACCTACACAGTGTGGAGGCCTCTGGGAACGTGCTCCATACACCTCTCCCTGGTTTTGATGGTGGGTAGGTGGTAGGGAGTCCTGGGGGGAGTCCTCACAGCGCTACAGTCCTGGAGCCCAGCGCCCTCCTGAGCTCCCGAATTGTGTTCCATTATTTTCAGGGTCCTGCGACGGCATTCACTGGCTGTGCCCCTCTCCCCACAGCCTTTTTCTCCCCCTGGGATCCCAAGTCATCGTATTGGGAGACGATAATGAATTGTGGGGGTGAGGGTAGATGGGGAAACTGGTGAATGAATGTCTAGCACAATCAAGATTTTGTAATTGTTAAAAAAAAAAGTTTTCTTATTTTAGTAAAAGGATTGTAGCTGCTGGGTAAGCGGTAGGGAGAAAATGGGAGCTGTAGATTTGATTTAATTAAAAATAAACAAACTTTGGAAATTTTATTTATCCAAAGTGGACTTTAAGTTTTGTCTTTGGGTTTTCAGATGACTAAAGAGATTTACCTGGAGTGTTCACACTGTCTTCTGGGAGTCTTTATTGTTTCCAGCCTGGGGGAAGGAGGCCAGGCATAGGGCTGGGTTCTCCAGGGAATGCCCCACTCCTCTATCGAGAGGGTCTCTGATAGGTAACATTTTAAAGTCAACAACTAAGACAAATACCTTGTTTAACTTCAGTGTCCTTGAAGTCCTGAGCATTTTACTGATTACCGTAGTCAATAGTGGCTTTTAGGGCGGAGAAGAATAAATCTTTGTGATGTGTTGTAAGTTGCTGTATCCCCATGACAACTTTGAACTCCAGTTATGTAGGATGCTAGTTTCTTTTAAACTTATTTCTTGAGGAGGAAGGAGACTTGTTTTGTAGGGCAAATAGTATTAATGGAATTAAAAACTATTCATGCCAAAGACACATTTAAATATCTTTACAAGTAGAGTGGTAGAAACAAGCTGTAAATTGCTTGGGAATGAGAAGTAATAGAAAGGTTTGCTAGCACACAACTTCAAATAAAACTTTAAAATGTAATGTTTATTTATTTTAAAAATTGATTCAGAAATGCTTCTTAAAGAAAGCCAAATTCGGACATTTAAATCCTCTATAAATAACCCTAAACAGAAGGATATTTTTATTTTTTACAAAGTCTATTTTAAAAGTACTTATTTAATTAATAAGTACCTATCTTATTTTATTTGTCTTTTGTACCTATCTCATTTTAGATAGTACTTATACATTCATAGTTAATCAATTTTTTATAGGTAATCAATTTAAGCAGATGTAATAAATGTTACAACCATTTATTTTCAAGATTTTTTTTTTTGTTATGAACAGGTTTAGGTTAGTTGTAAACACCAGAAACCACCCAAATAGCAAAATGACATAAACACACTTTAGATCGATTGCATGAATTGAAGTTTTAGTGTAGGAAAATAGGAAACAGTTTTATTTAGCACTGAAATGGTTTTAATAATGTTTGAATCAGTAAAATAGCAATCATTTGTAGAAATTTTGCAGATAGAAGCAGTTAGACCCACGTGGAAGTCAGAATGTTTTAGTGTTCGGTCCTTGTGGCATGAACATAAAACTTAACATTTATCTCTGTGTGTTAATGTTGGTGTCTTTTTTTCCCCTTAGGAGACCTGAGTCACTTTCTAATCGATAAAGTGCTCAAGAACAGTATTTCTCATTTCACTTGTCTATTTTTTTTTTTTTAAGAAAAGGAAGGGGGCAGATATAGTAAATACTTTAAATAAAAGTGACTTGGGATTTATAGAAATAAAAAAATTACTTGGGCCCTACTCTGTCCCAGGATATTTGTGGGTTGCTGCAGGGGTCAGTGATCCGTGTTGATATTGTATGGCTTGCTCAGTTTTGATAAGTGGCACACTGTAATTAAGATAGATTTCAGTTTTGAAACGCTTGGGAACAGCCCAAAAGGAGGGGTCAGGGGACCCAAAGTGACTTCCCCACAGCTCATCTCAATTCCGAGGTCCTTGGAGACAGAAGGAGGATGATTGGGACTCAGCCTTCAGCACCATATCCTCCTGCTCCTTTCCTGGGGTTTTACTGGTCACTCCCAGGGCTGCAGAAGTATTGGACAAATGCTGGACCAGAGCAATAGTGACCACAGCCGGCTCCTGGCTTGGCTGCGGAGCAGAAAGATCCGTGGGGAAGGGCGCGGGCGGGGAGGCGGGCAGCGCGTCGCCAGCTCGCGGCCAGGGCTACCGGGGGTCTTCCGGGGGGGCCCGGGGAGGGCAGGGAGCAGCGCGACCTCACCCAGCCTCTTGTCCCCGCTCTCGTCGCAGACCTGCTGGAGGACCTGCCTGAAAGCCGTGAGTGCGTGAACTGCGGCTCCATCCAGACGCCGCTGTGGCGGCGGGACGGTACCGGCCACTACCTGTGCAACGCCTGCGGCCTCTACAGCAAGATGAACGGCCTCAGTCGGCCCCTCATCAAGCCGCAGAAGCGCGTGGTGAGTGTGAGCGCCGCCCTCCCCTGCGGCCGGGCCCCGAGCGGCGCTCCTCCAGCCGCCCGGGCGCTTCCGGCTCGCCCCGGGCGCCCCCCGCGGGAACAGGTGCGGCGCGGCCCGGGGCCGCCAGGGTCTGCCGGAGCGCGGGAACACGGCTGTCCCCTTCCTTCCTCGGCCACTTGAGCGCTCGCCCGCGCGCGCCCGAGTGGAGGTCGTCCCGAAACCAGCGTCTGGGGAACGAAGACAGCCTTTCCCCACATTTACACGTAGGAAATAATGTCTATAAAAGGGGGAGGGGGAAGGTGTAGGGAGCTACCATTTTCAAAATACACAAAAGTCAATATTTATATAAATCTAGATGTACTTGTAAATGCCCTAGAATATTTTGGAGGGAGACACAAGAAATTGGTCATGACTGTAACCTCTGAGTATACCGACCCAGGTCAGATGAAGATCTTTTTCTCTGTGTACTCTTTGGTGTGGTTTGGATTTTATTATGGAAAACTGCTGGTTTATACCCCCTCACCCTCCATAGAACATGACAACTGCAAATCCACATTCCCTTACTCTCCACAGCCTCGTCCTGGGTTCCTTTGATTTTGTTCCTTATACCTTTGGGTCCCTTCTACCTCTTCTGGGAGTGAGACAGATTTTAACCCCCATTTCCATCCCTCTTTTGGATTGTCTTTGAGTTTGATGAAAATTTAACCTTAGTTATTTTGAAATCTGGCTGTTCAGAAAACTACATAGAACTTGAGAGAAAAATGCAGTCATGTTCTTCTCAAGTTGGGGATTTTCACCAATCCAAACACATTTTTAACTACGTTTTAAATTATGGGAATTCTGATTTTCTTCAGGGAAAAATCCCTTATTGTTAGGTGTGGTTTTAGGAGAGGGCATTTACTGCCGTAGTGATTAGAGAGAATAAATGAAAATGTTCACAGGCCCCACTGTAAGGCTAACATTTGTTTAACCAAGCACTCAGGCTGTTAATACCTTTTAAAGTAAAATATTTTACAGTGAGATGCCAGACGTCTTAAGTATCCAAGTAATTTATTTAATTGTTATACTCTAATTAGCAGGAACAAATGCTACACATGTTGTTTGTGTTAAATAGATTAGGGTGAAATTGCATCACAATGGAAGTCTGACACCTTAAAGAGAAGCAATTAGTTTTATGGTTGTTTTGTTTTTAATGCATTTAAAATAAAGTGGCTGAGGTTAATTTAACGTGCGTATGTGCCTTAAACTTGTTATATAGCCTCCCGCAGCTTAACAATCGTCTTCAAAGGGCATCCTCAACTTCAGCGTCTGACTCCCTATGGTTTTCATTTCTTACGCATCATATTCAAAAAAGAAAAAGTAGTGGTCAGAAAATATTCCAGGGAAGTTCCCTGTTTCCGTGTATGAACAGTGAAACTGATTTTTTTTTTTTTTTGAAAGGCACACTGAGCTGAATACTAGCTGAGTTCAGCAAGACGACATTTTCTTGAGATTGAAGGAAATACTGATAGAATAGTAGCCTTTTGGGTTCTAGTTGCATTCTAAATTTGATATAGTAACATCCATATTTAGATTGTGCCATTTTGCACACTTACTGGTAAAAATAACTGTTAGCAGAAAAGAGTTTTTAACATCTCTGAATCTGTTAGTTTTCCTTCTGTGTGGCAGGTGTTTTGGCAGTGACCAAGGTCAGCCATTGTGCTTTGTAAATGGGTTATAAATGATACCAATGGAAGGGCGTGTTCATCAATTAGTTCTTGTGAGTTTCTTATTTATGGTTTTGATGGATCTAGCTTAGTTCTCAGAATGTTGAACCCAAGTTTGTTTAGCCAGCAGTACAGAACCAATCACTGTGAATCTGAACTTGTAATATATTGCAAAATAAGAGATTTATGGTGTAACTTGAATTCCTTGTCAGTGATGAATATAACTGAGATCATTTGTTACAAGGAACTTTTATAACCCATTCACCTTCATTTCACATGTTTATGGAGACTGGCTTCACTTATGATTTGCAGTTGACAGTCATAAAGTTCTTTGTTATAATGGCAAATTCTGATAACAAGTTTACTTCACGTTGGCTTCAAATTCCACTGGAAACTGTCATAAATGACCTGTTTATAAAATGAACCTTCTTGTCCTTTGTTTAATGATTTCACATTTACACAGAGAAAGCAGTGCTCTCCTAGGAAATTATTTTATTTTAACCATAAAAGAAAAAAGAAAAAAAAAACCGATGCGTAAGATTTTCTGTGTTTTTATTGTTTTAGCAAAGCAGTTCCCCAAATAGTTTGCCTGTCAGCCAAGCATATTCACTTCAACCAAAAGTCAAATCTATTTTTTCTTAGCACTGACTTCTTAAAAATGTTGTAGCGTTAAGAGGCTTACTACCAGTGTCTCTTTGTTTTTATGACTTGTCTATAAAGAATAATGTGAAAGTGATACAATAGGATGTGAATTGTAAATGGAAAATTCAGTTTTATCTTTTAAATTTGCCAGCAAAGGATTTGAAAAATCTGTCCTTTCATCTGAATATTCAGTATACCCTCAATTCATATTTTTGTTATACATTCTTTAAAACTATTCCTTTGTGAAATTAATCTATGTAGCTAACTTCCCAAATTCTGTTAACTTTCAACTTATTTTGGTCCTTGGATTTTTCCTCACAGCTTGTTTACTGAAGTCATGGCACTGTTTTTTAGTTGCCTCTCTAGGTAATTCAATAACAAATTTAGATTTTGGCATTTTGGAGAGTAACTTTTACTAGCTTAAATAATCTCTTTATAACTTACACATAATAATTTAGATGAGATGAAATCCTTTTAAAGATATTATAGGCATAAGGGGAACATGGAAATCAGAATGACAGTGCCCTTTCTGATAATTTAATCCTTTGTATGAACAAAAGTTGGGTATTGTACTGATAGGGTGAAGAAAATATATCCCTATCACTGTATGTAAGGTAATGCCAGCATTAAAACAATGCCATCAAATTTGCTTATCCTTTGTAAAATGAATAATACAAAAGCTCAGCAGTCAACCGTGATAATTATAAGACATGTATTAAAATATATTTCTTTATAAAAATATTGTACATTTTCCAAGATCCGTTCCTATCAGTATAACATATATAGGCCCTTCTAAAGTTTTTGGGTTGTTTCTCTGGATTTATCTGAGAAATAGACGTGGTTATCTCTAGTTTCCAGGTGAAGTGGAGACTGCACAAAGCCACTTAAGAACACTGGCAGGTATTTGTGATTTGTGGTTGCATTTCATGACTTCTATCTCAGACCTCTGACAACAGTGAGCACAGTTATTGGCCAACATTGTGACTTCGTTCTGGTTATTCTATCATCTACGCTAATATGCTGGAGCAAACCAAACACACACGTGGGATGGAGCACTGCACCTGAAACTCCAGTTTCTTGGTCCAGAAAGGTCAATCTAATTACCCTTCAAATTCTTTTCCCAAGGGACCTTTGATTTATAATAAAGTACATGCTTGTTGATGACAGGGACACGCTGCATGGATGTACATAGCATATACATAAAATCACTTATACCTGTGCACTTACTGTCTTGTGCTACTTTTTAGCCTTCCTCCCGGCGGCTTGGATTGTCCTGTGCCAACTGCCACACCACAACCACCACTTTGTGGCGCAGAAATGCTGAAGGCGAACCTGTGTGCAATGCTTGTGGACTCTACATGAAGCTCCATGGGGTATGCCGCGTATTCTGCTCATGTGTATACGTGTTTAGGGTCTTATTTGTACATGGTTTTAGTCAAGAAAAAAATCAGCCAAGGAGAGGGGATGAAAGTGAAAAATCTGATTTCCTATGTACATGTTTTTGAATTTAGGATGTTATTAATTATAATATAAACTATTATCTCATATACTAGTAAGAAACAAAAAATACTGCCAATTGAACTGTCACACACATCCATTGTAAGACATCCCAATTTTAGAAATACTAAAATGTGAAAAATGTGCATTCTAGAGTCGACAACATGGTAGTAACCTTTTTAAAAAACTGTATATTCAAAGGAAAAAAAGGCATGGAACCAACTAGAAATGCACAATAACTATATCTTTGACATTTGGGGAATGCAGCAAGTACTTTTATGCAAAGGAGCAATAATATATTTGGTAGTTATAGTTAGCAACATTCTGTTACTCATTTTAAGCATAGCACAAAATATTATAAACACATTAATCTTAAAAAGGAAATTAACCTTGTATGTGTAGGAGAGAGAGAACACATGATCTCTTTGAAATAAAAATATGTGCTTCTTGGTTTTACTCTGTAATTGAAGCTGTTTAAAACAATAAACAGTGAGTTGAGGGAATAAATTTTCCCTGGCAAATAACCCCATTCTCTCTGAGGGAATCTGCATTTGATCGGGAAAGTGTAGCCTTTGTCCAGGTTGGAATCTGTTGCGCATGTATCAAAATTGGACTGAAATTCATGCCAGCTTCTTTTATAAATGAGGGCTTTCAGTACCGATGTTGAGTCTTTAGTTAAAAGTTGTGTTTTCTTCCATATAATGTTAAACTTAAGGCCTATATGAACATTTTTTTTAGGTGCCTCGACCGCTTGCTATGAAAAAAGAGGGAATTCAAACCAGGAAAAGAAAACCTAAGAACATAAATAAGTCAAAAGCTTGCTCTGGTAAATACAGTAGAATGCTATTTGATTGTAAAGCATCTGCTAACTTGAACAGTAGAGTATGTGTGTGTTTATGAGGTTAATTTTGATTTGCAGGTAGTAGCAATAATTCTGTTCCTATGACTCCAACTTCCACCTCTTCTAACTCAGATGACTGCAGCAAAAACACTTCCCCTACAACACAACCGACATCCTCAGGGGTAAGTGTTAAAGCAGTATGTAGACTCATTCTAAGCTAGGGGGTTGCACTTGCTCTCTAGTCTATTATCTCAGATTTTATCTTATCTGGTAGTACAATAATCTAAACCAACAGTTCGGTTTAGTTAGCTGATACCTAAGAATAGTTTTTAGAGGAGATTACATTTGAATGTCAACAGAATGACAAACGTAAGTACTTTCCAAACCTCTTAATTAAGATCTATATCATTTTTTATGGTTAAATTAACCCAAGTAAAAGCAAGAAGTTTTGAAGTGCTTTCCAGAGTTTTAGTTGCAGGTTTCTATCTGAGCTGCCATATATATTTCTAACGTAGAGCAGGAGAACTAGGAGTCAGAGGTTTTATAGATCTCAGTGCCCATGGCACTTAAATTGCTTTTGCTTATCGTAGAGAGACTCCCATCTTTCTTCCCTTCTCTCTTCTCTTCTCTTCCTCCCCCCGCTTTTCTTTTTTAATAAAATCATTTACCCCAAGAAAAGTTCATCACAGTTTGTGCTGTGCTGCTATATTCACCGATCTTCCTTTATCCACTGCCCTCCTGCCTTGCCTTCTTCTAACTCACCTTCATGGCACCCAGGCTCATTTCAGCCTTGCCGCAAGCCAGGGAGCAATTCTGGTTGTGAGTAATTACTGCTCTTGAGGGTAGAGATGCAAGGGTCTTCGCGAAGATCACAGTTCTGTAAAGCTGTGACCGGAAACTCCGTTTTTCTCAACTGCCGAGCACCTAGTGTTTCCCACATTTACCGAGTGTTTCCCACATTTACCCAGAGTGCTCTTTAAAAATGACCAGGCCTCACCCTAGACCACAGCGGGTGAGGTCTGGGCTGCTTGACTGTGGCAGTGAGCGGGCCTCGGTGATTTTAAGGATTACACCGAGACTAGTTTAAGTCAAAACACGAGCATTAAAATCCCTGTTTACTTAGTAATTGTTTTTCACATTTAGCTTTGCCCTGTTTGGGGTCCTTTGAAATGCTACAGATTCCTGGGCCCCACCCTGGATTTTCTGAGTCAGAGTCTCTGGGGGTGGGGCTTGGAAAGTTGTGTTTTTGAGCGAGCGCCCCAGGTGAAATTGAAACTGTTGCCCTCGAGGTGTCTTCTGACCGGGGTTTGGGAACCATAGAGCTGTTTTCTCTTCGTCATATTTCAAATGGTTTAATAAGCAAAAATGAAACATGAAAGAAGTTTTTTAGGCTGCTTAAAATTATATTTGATATTTCTCGTCCTCCATCCCAAATTCTGTTGGGCTTTTGCTTTTTGCTTTAATCACACAAGAAGTCTGTTGAGTTTCACAAGGCAAAAAGCCTTTCCATTGTTTTTTGTTTGTTATAGATAGATGTTAAAGAACGTTTCTAGCCTTTATGAAAGTGGACTCTGGTGTATGATTTTTTTTTTTTCTTTAACAGAAGGGTTAGGTGTAATTTTAAGGGTCCAAACTGGTAAACAGAACATTTACCTGTGTGGAAATGGAAAGATAAAGATTATTTAAGAATGTTCTTTATTACACCCTAAGTCCTAGGCCACACTTATGTAGTAGTAGCTACCTACATAGGGCAAAACGATGAACCGGTTTTTGAAAGCACTAGGGTAGCAGCCAGGTTTTCGGCTTCAGTGTGATGTCAGTCGCTCCCAGCTGAAATGAAGCTCGCTGCCAGCTTCGGGTCACTTTTGTTTGTTAAGGTGAGCTTAAGCATGGAAAAAGCCAAATGTGAGTGGTAAATGGCACAGAAATACAGGTGTTTGCCCCTCGTCGGGCTTTGGGGGCTTGGAACCACAGTGAGTGGGGTTCGTTTTGCTCTCGTGGTTTTGACCAGAAGGGACCATTTGCAAGTCTGATCAGTTGTCCTCCAGGGGAGGAGCCATGGGAAGTCAGTGACGGGCTGCGGCTCTGGCCTGCCTGGAAGAGGGACCTCGGGAGCTCTGCTGCTGAGCTCTGGGTGCTTCAGGGGGCATCTCTCACCTGGGACTCAGCATGCTGGAGGTGGCTTGCCGGTCAGTGCCCTTTGGAGGAACACTCCATTCCCTGCTAGAGGCCAGGAGGCAGAGCAGTAAGGATGGTGGAGGTTGGTGGAGTTTGAGAGCAGTTCCGTGCAAAGTCTCGTGCAGCAAGCCCCCAGCATTCCCTTAGCCTGTGCAGCCTCCGCGGGAGCCGGGCTGTGCGAGCTGCGGACCTGACCAGGGGCAGCTTGCAGAGCCCAAGCAGCCTCCAAGCCTCTGTGACACCTTTTCTCATGGCCGGGGCTACAGCTTGCTTGCCCTCCTCCCTTCCCTCTGTAGGGACTCACCTCCCACCCTTCCCCCGCCTGGGCTCCACAGGCACCCGGGCTTTCGGGGTTCTCTCGAAGGTTAGTCCATCACGGATGTCTCCAGCAGCCCCTACCTGACGTGACTGTTGTGGGGAACCAGACCTACCGCACAGAAGGCAATCTGCTGGCTGCTTTTGGAAACTGTCCCTCTCCAGGAATAATTGTTGTAGACCTGAATGGTCTTGCTGGGTTACTGCCGAGGAGTGCCACTATGTGTACTCAGTGGCCCCTTAGAACCTTCAGAGCCTTCCCTGGGTGTATGCGGCCGGCCAGGGGCTGGGAGAGCTGTGAGGAGGACCACGCTGGGGGAGCCTCTGTGAGCAGCTGGCCAAAGCATTTGTGAAAGGTGGCTGCGCTGACAAGATGTGTCCTTTTCCCATTTTGGTCACAGTTTGTGATGTTGGAGGGAGCCGGTGTCGTGACTGGATGCTTCTAGGAGTTGGGGAAGTGCCACAGGTGAGGGAAATGTTATGTGGGCAAAGCCGGGCTGTGCCTGGTACTAGTACACGGCACCCTGGTGGGCTCCTTTGATGATGGGTCCGTCCCACTGATCTCCAGTGGCCCCTGTGGCCCACAGGTGGCGGAAGTTAGTAGTTCAGGGTTATTTCACTTTAATTGGGACAACGGAGCTACAAAACAAAGGGCAATCTTAGGCATACTCCCGGTGGAAGGCAGGAACTGGGGGCCGCCTGAGATGTAAGTGGCGACATAACTGCTTGTCCATCTTAATGATTGTAACAGCAAGGAAGTCAGAATGTTTGCTGCAAAGGTCCACGTCAAACCTGCTGTTCCTTTTAATTCCCCCCTGGGAAAGTGTAGGACATGATCAGTACGCATTCCCAGCAGGCTTCTTTTATTTATTTTTTTAAAGTGGTTTTTTTTTTTTTTTTTTAAGTTTACTTATTTATTTTGAGAGAGAGAGAGAGATTGCACAAGCAGGGGAGGGGCAGAGAGAGGTGGGAGAGAGAGAATCCCATGCAGACTTCTCGCTGTCAGGGCAGAGGAGCCAAATGCAAGGCTTGAACTCACAGTGTGAGATCATGACCTGAGCTGAAATCAAGAGTCCGGACACTTAACCAACTGAGCCACCCAGGCGCCCCTAACAGACTCCTCTTAAACCTTGATGTTCCTACCCTGTCCTGCATGTGGGCATGGGACACCAGGTGTCTGTGGCTGGTTTCTGAGCTAGCCCAGCAGGAGCTGAATATTCTGGAGAGAGGGAAGCTGCTGCTGTGAGCAAAAGCTCCAGGGTTCCCTCCCCAACAGCAGTGAAGGAGTGGGCAGGATTCCTAGCACGCAGCATTTGGCATTCTTCCTTGATAAGTGTCTAAGTGCCACAGAAATCATTTTTGCGGTGCTCTGAAGCCTCATTTCTTTCCTTATTTGTCGTAAAGCTGCAATGTCTTAGCTTTTTATATACTTGTTGCTAATTTGTGTTTTAACTAGATCTCTTGTAAAAGGAGACATTCCTTCTGATGGTCATCAGGTCATTGACCCAGCTACCTTATTATGACTCAGTTTCTCTTTGTTGTAGGTTTTGTATGTGTGGTGTGTATATGTTAGAGGTGGGTTATATGTTAGAGGTGTATATGTTAGCCCTTGCCCACAGGGCCCCTGGGTGGCTCAGTGGGTTAAGTGTCTGACTTCAGCTCAGGTCATGATCTCCCAGTTTGTAAGTTCAAGTCCCGCGTGGGGCTTCGTGCTGACAGCTCGGAGCCTGGAGCCAGCTTTGGATTCTGTGTCTCCCTTCCACCGCTCATGCTCTCTCTCTTTCTCTCACTCTTTCTCAAAAGTAAATATTTAAAAAATAAAATAATAAAATAGCCCCTGTCTTGTTTGTTCCTTTGGAATTCTTGTGTTAAGAAATGTGTTAACTTGATTTTTGTGCCCTTTGAACTTAAAGATACATTTTCCAAGAAAAGTCTTTCATGCTAAAATTTTCTTACACCTGTAGGTTTACTGAAAAATATGTATTTAGTTAATTTAAATAGATAACAGATTTTCTTTGGCATATATACATATATATATATATATGTTCTCTGGATTGTGAGAATATTTAAATCTTTCATTGAATTCCATTTATTGACTAAATTACATTTTATAGTTTTGTTTTTTATTATTTAGGAGGGAAATAGGGGAACATGTTCTATTTTAGCAATTCCCAAGTAAAATTAGTAAGTATAAAATATTCTTATTCCTCTAAGACTTGTAGCTGAAAATTAGCAAAACTAGAGAACACTTTACTTATATGTAAAACCTATATGATATGTATATGTAATAGGTATATATATTATATATGTAATATATATTTATTATGTACATATATATAAGCTTTATCTCTTTATCCTCAAATTTTATAGGTCAAAAGTATTTCTCTTACTTTCCTTTGGTACAGGAAGGGTTAATTTGGGGTTGAAATCAGCAATAAGACTTAATGTCTGGGAATAAGAAATCACTGAACATATTTGCCTGCCTAGAGGTAGTTCTGTAACTAATTACTGAAAAAAATTAAAAACTACTTAAGTTTATATTAAAACTTTAAAAACTTTTTACTTAAGTTTATATTAAAACTGCAAATGTTGAAGTCCTCATAAATTCTATAATGTTGGAATAAATGGAGATGAGCTATATCTCACTAATCCTTGCTTTATGGCCATTACTCCATTTAAATAGTATTGT